ACCAATTTAGACTGCAAATTCCTAGGTAAACCTGCAGGCGAATCAATACAGACAACCTCATCAGAAAGACTAATCGAAAACTCTACTTTGCCCAAAAATGAAGGCTGAGGAAATCCAGAAACCAGTCAGCACCTTATTTCAGGCTTTAAACTGAGATTGCACATGAGTACTGGGGAAATCATTTGTAAAGCTTTAAAAGTTACAACACATGCTTAAAACACATTGTAAGCCTTAAAGATCATATGACGGTCAAACACAAGGCTTCCAATTGTTGTGTCTGTGACAAATAAAATGTATTTTACAAAAAGAAAATATATTTAATGCAAGTACAATTTGTTACAAAAAAGTTTTGTGCAAATAAAATATCAAAGTACAGGTGGAGTACCAACAAAATTGCCTTCTTTCTTTTCGGCTTAGTGCCTTTATTAATCAGGGGTTGTTGCAACGGAATGAACCGCCAACTTATCCAGCATATGTTTTATGCAGCGGATGCCCTACCAGCTGCAACCCATCACTGGGCAACACCCATACACTCACATACACTACAACCAATTTAGTTTATTCAGTTCACCTATAGAGCATGTCGTTGGACTGTGGTGGAAAGCGGAGCACCTGGAGGAGGAAACCAACACGAACATGGGGAAATTCCAGAAATGCCAACTGACCCAGCCGGGGCTCGAACCAGCGACCTTCTTCCTGTGAGGTGATCATGCTTCCCACTGCGCCACCGTGACCTCCAATTGCTATCCAGTGTAATAGTAAATAGAGCAGCAAGCAGGGGCGGATTTAACCAATAAGCGAGGTAAGCGGCCACCAGGAAATCTGGGGGCCCCCAATAAATGCCTATAGTATAAATGATACCGTTATACAGTATATATCATCATTTTCCCATATATTTTCATTTCATTATATTTTGTATGATAAGCATCTAACAAATAAAATTTCAACTTTAATTATTACATCTACGCAAATTTGTCCCCTACTATCAATAATGAAGTGGTCCCGCAGCCAAAGCAAAAAAAAAAAAGGGAAATGAGAGATTTTATTACGATAAATGTAGAAAGGAGAGACAGAAAATCACCAGTATAAATAAATAGAAAATAAATAAAAGGATAGAGAGTGCATTTTAGGATTGTTGGGCCCCTTGGCTGGAATCAAATAAGAAATAATTTTCATTATCTGCTTCAGCTATAATTCATTCAAGAATATTAATAATACCACACTCATAAAAAATCACACTATGACAAATTCTGATGTGAAAACTAAAGGAGTATAAAACATTTATACATGTTTGTCTATTTAACTCTTATGTACTGTTAGGGAGGTTTTTATCCACTCTGGGGTCATTTTGAGTCTTAATTTGGCCATAACTTTTTCAGTGTTTCAGCTAGCAGAATGATTTTAATGACAAATCTTATTTTGACACATATATTAAGAAAATGCTTTGGATTTAATTTTTTTTTTACTTAATGATACACTCTGAGCAAATGTACTACCGTGTGGTTATGTTAGAGATGAAAACATCCACTGAAATAAACTGCTGTAAAATGCATCAGATAAACCTTTTTTAAAAATTTATTTGCACAAATCTGTTAATCAACCTCAGTCCAGATCAAAATTACTAAGTTGTTAAGAAATCTACAGGATTTTAACTCCTTAAATGGCAAATTCATAAATGATGTCATTGATTTGGTGAAAAAAAACACACAAATGATTACATATTTTCAATAATACAATAAGTAATTGTGGATTGGATTTTTTTTAACCTTTTATCACAATCTTGGACAGTTGAAACAACCGTGGGGCTGTTTTTGCCTCATTGGCTTCCATTATAACCACATTTTTTTTCATTACAAAACCATTACACAATATACATATGCATTTTTGATTTTCCCTGTTGAGAGGAGGTAAGTTTTGCAATTTTTACTGTTGATCATAAGTTGGTACCATTAAGCCTTTAGATACACCTGTGAAAAAAGTTTAGTTTCTGGATTTTATATGGAGTATTTATTCATTCATTCATTTTCTATTCGGCTTAGTTCCTCTATTAATCTGGGGTCGCCACAGCTGAATGAACCGCCTATATGCAGTATAAAAGCAAACTAAAGTGTGTCTGTGAGTTTGTGAAAGTGTTACATTGATGTGTCTAAGAAAATCAAAATATACATCTCAGCTCTCCGAACTACATGGAGTAAATAAAAACAAACATATATGCACCATCAAATGTGCTTATAAAGGAAGTCAATGGGCCAAAAACAGCCATCAACAATAAATTAGGGAAAAACTTTAAATCTAACAATGCATCAAAGCCAGTGTTGTTACTAATCATTCACATGTCTAAGACTGTAAAAAAAATCCACAACTACTTTTTATATTGAAAATAGGTCATTTTGTGTGTTTTGTGAGTAGTAAATTTGAACAGTGCACAAGAGTTAATGAATAAATAAATAGTTGGCTGTCTGAGCGGTTGGTTTTCAACCAAATTACTGATCTCACTTTGGCAGATCTAGTATTCGTAAGCAGATTATCCATCTCACTATGCACATAACAAGCCAGAGGATCCAGCTAATGCATCCTGATTAACTGACATTTTCTTTCAGTCAGATGTCAGAGTGGTCAGTAGACATCTATATTGTTTAAAAATAATGGACACATTATACTAAAGCACCCTGCAGCCCAAGACTGGTTACTCACTGAAGATAAGCAGAGCTGAGCCTGGTCAGTGGGAGACCAAATGGGTTGCTGTTGGAACTAAGTGGTTTTAGTGAGGCCAGCAGGGGTGCTCAACCTGCAGACTGTGTAAGTCCTAATGCCCCAGTAAAGTGAAGGGGACACAATAAAGCTAAAGATCTTTGCCCGAACCTGACAGGACCCGGCGGTAAAGCGCTAAACATCAAGCTGACAGGTAAAAAGACGAGGTCACTCGCTACATTGAAACCGCTGTAATGGGAAATTAAATGGATGTTCCTGGCTGGTAGAAGATGAACAAACAATCCTACCCAAAATTAGCCAGATCAGACCTATGCATCTAGGCCTGTAGCAGCAGCAGTGAAAGGGTGTTCGGTGCCGCTGGATGCACCATCCTGAGCACAGGACTGCGCTAAAGCAATTTACAGTGGATTCAATAATGTTCCTCCACAAAAACACGTAGCCTAATCTTGGTGAGTAAAGGGTTTTTAAATGATAAATAAATATTAATTAAACCATAAAATCATAATGTGGACAGAGTATACAGACTAATGTTGGCATTAGGCTATTCTTTTAATATTCTGCTTCACCGTCGCCTTAAGGCCAGATTGTGAAGAGAAGTGGCGAAACAAATCCCTCAGAGCCTTTATCTAAATTTTGTTATTGCCAAATACCCGTCATAATTTACAATTCATTTTAATTTAATTTGTTAAGAAAGACTTCTTTTCATGGGTGTGTTGGCCAATTTAAAGGCTAGGTGAATGTAGCTAGGCTTTTACACTCTCAGAAATGAAGGTAGAAGCTGTCACTGGGGGCTGGTACCTTTACAAAAGGTAAGAATTTGTACCTAAAAGGTCCATATTAGTACCAAAAAAGTACAAGTAGGTACTAATATATACCTATGAGGTACCAATAAGGACCTTTCAAGTTCAAATGTGTACCTTTTGAAAAGGCACCACACCCCAGTGACAGCTTGCGTACCTTTATTTCTGAGAGTGTAGAGCGCCGAGATGTTACGATGTTACAGAGGACTTATTTTATTTCTTTGTTCCAACTTCCAAGTGGCCTATAGCCTACGTTTGTTACGAATAAATTATGTTGAAACATATAAATGACTCATTCTTGAAAAAAAGGCAAACGAGCTGTGTGCCTGTGCACATTTGAATAATGTCAGGCTGTAAACGGGTTTGGCCTTTTAAAAAGCTGTCAATCAAAATGTCCCTGTCGGGCTCACGCCGAATTCTGTTGGGCTTGGGCCCTGTCGAGCCTAATTTTTATGGCCCAATTACAGCTCTAAGACACAACTGTCAGTGAGTGCCGTCTTTCAGATGTTAAACTGAGGTCCTGACTCTCTTTGGTTAATGAAACTTTTCATAAAAGAGTAGGGGTTTAATCCCAGGGTAATCGCCAAAATTCTCTCAATTAGCCCTTACCCATCATGGCCTCCCAATCATCCCCATCCACCGAATTGGGTCTATCACTGTCTCGCCACTCCACCAATAGCTGGGGTGTGGTGAGCCCAGTGACGCTGTAGTCCTGTGTCTGTTGTGGCGTACAGTCTAGGTACGTGGCCGGCCGGAAGTGAGATATGCACATAAATATAGCAGCATTTTTTTGTGATTCTATAACAATAATTAATGTTTTTAATAAATTAATATTTTTCAACAGTACATTTTTGTACTGTTGGGTCAGTAAGATTGGGTGTAGGATTGGGGTGCGGGTAGACAATAACAAAATACAATGGGAAATGTAAAAATAAATAATATAAATCATTCTCGCTAGCTTCTGCCAAAGCCGTGTGCGATCTAGTGACAACCCTGGTGTGGTGGTGGTGTGGAGAGACCTTCACATGATTGTGAAGTACTACAGTTATATTGGCCATACATGATAAAATGCAATATATATAAAAAATACGCATTTACAAAATAAATAATAAAAAAAATTGTAGACTGCAAAATGTGTGTTTAATGTATCACTTTGGCATTAAAGACTTCCAAACAGGCATACAATAATGCATAGTTTGCTCTAGCTGGCTCTATTTCATCAATTACAAAATAATATTATCTAATAATCATAATCATAATAATAATAATAAACGCCTTCGACTATCAACATTCCACACGCTTATATTACCAACTCACTGTTTTCCACTTTCTACAAACAAGAAAAATCCAGAATGAAATCTTCATTGTGGAAAAGAGAGGGAGAAGGGGAGAGAGAGGCGGCAGAGGCGCGTGCCTGATGACGCAGTCACTCTTTTTGCCGAGTATCATGGGAAAATAACATAGCAGGCTAGCACGCGCAGGAAGAGAGGAGAAGAACCGACACCTCCGCGCACAGAAACTATTCCCGTGCGTTAATATTCATATTTACCTCCCCGAACAACTACAAACCGGCGAACAGAAACCACATTTAACCGTTCAGCGAGTCGTGAAGTGTTCCCGGTTGTTGTTGTCGGTTTCATTTGTCGGCTTGTTGGATATTTAGCGCGTGTCGCTGTCGAGCGAGTTTGCGGAAGAGGTGGGTTGTTAAATGTACCTTTCATAAATCACCACAGGCATCCTGCCGTCTTTAAACCACAAACTATATGTTTACAACTCTATGAACGCTGCACGTGGTGTACATTTTCACAAAATAGTGAAAAGTCTGTCAAATGCGGGCGATTTAAATGGACAAGTCGCGGTTTTCGAGCCGGTTAAGTTGAGAGGGGACCGTCATTGCTGTCCGCTAGCCTTTATCTTGTCTCACCTCACTATGCATATCTATACATCTGCTCTTTGTGTTCGCATTAGGTCAACGCCGTTCCTGCTTCGGACGCCAAAGCCCAACGAGATTACATTCGGGGGATAAGCAGAAAGTTTTCATCACGCGAGGTTACAGTCGACGGCGGTGTAAATATGAGTTACAAGCCGATCGCCCCCGCACCCACCGGCTCCAACCACACTCCTCCAGGTGAGTTTCATTGTGCTCTCTGTTCATTCATTTTTACGTGCTTCTTTCATTTTGAGGTATTTTACGCCTATCATCTTTTTAAACGCCCCGTTTTAATCCCAAGGAAAGGGTCAGTGAACCTACAGTAAAAGAGGTCAGAGGCACGGATAAAAGGGGGAGGAGTTAAAGGAGCCATGGCCATCTGTCTTGCTCATTACATAAATGTGGTTTAACGTGCTGCTAACCGCGCCCTGCAGCGTTTATTTTTAAAACCATAACTGTTTCCCCAGTGTTAGTGTTGTGCCATCACATCTGTGTGTCCCAGTCTTGCCTCTGTTTCTCCTCACTTCCTTACACACACAAACACACTGGGTGGCAACGTTTCATTGGTCGAATTTGGCCTTTTGACATTTCCTTGATTTGTGATTGGTCTTTATCTTGTTCTCTGGTTTCAGGATCTTGTGGCTCTTCTCCATCACTGGCCTCCTCTTCAAACTTTAGACCAGCATTTAGTGACTTCGGTCCTCCATCGATGGGCTTTGTACAGGCATGTTTTGATGACATTGGGGTTTTTTTGCAATTTGCTGTATTGGAACAATGATTAATTTCAAACCTGTACATTTCTGTTCTTTTTGACACGACCAGTCAAAATTTTGAACTACGTTTTTCAGATGTTTTTGGAAAAGCCTCCTTGGCTCACTGTGGCTGCATTATTTAATGAATATAATATAATTGCTGTAATGTTGTGTTTAACATTTTTATAATACAATTTTATGAACAATTAACACATTTATATAGGCATTGGGGCATAAATGAGGCAGTGTATGTTTTGGTTTCATATTATGTTAAGATTAAATGTAAGTGTTCTTGTAATTAAAATATCCAAAACCCAGTAAAAGTGTTTTTTTGCTAACTTGTGTACTTGCTTTATCTCAAATGTTAAGTAGAAATTGAGAGAAGTGAGCAGTTTTAACTTGACACAACCGTGTCCAGTGTTGCCATGCTAATTATGTCATACATTTGGTGGCAAAGAGAGCTGAACGTGCTGCAATTTAAGAAACTACAAAAAACAAAAAAATAGCTATTACAAAAAACGGCAGCAAATTGAGAAAAGATCTTCATCGGTTTGACAGCACACGTGCTGCATTTTCGCACAACGCAAACAAATAATAAAATACGCTGCATTTTCACACAACGCAAACCTTTTACGACACAGTTTTTGGGTCACCTTGAAACATTTTCGTTGAGTCAAGTTTTTTGTGTTGTGAGCAAAATCAGTGCGTTTTCGTAAATTGTTTGAGTGTGACAAAATGCAGTGCGTTTTCGTATAAATTGTTTTATTGTAAAAAATGCAGTGCATTTTTGAAAACGAGTATGACAAAATGCAGTGCGTTATTTAAATTGTGTGTGACAAAATGCAGTGCATTTTCGTAAATTGTTTGCATTGTGAGAAAATGCAGTGCATTTTCGTAAACTGAGTGACAAAATGCAGTGCGTTTTTGTAAATTGTTTGAGTGTGTCAATGCAGTGCATTTTCGTAAATTGTTTACGTTTTGA